TTCCTTCCTTCCTTCCTTCCTTCCTTCCTTCCTTCCTTCCTTCCTTCCTTCCCTTCCTTCCTTCCTTCCTTCCTTCCTAGATTGTTGGGGGCAAGAGGCTGATGGAAAATTGACTCAGCCTTCCGTCCTTCTGAGGTTGGTAAAATGAGGACCCAAGTGCTGTTGCTATCTGCCCTCCCAAACCCACCTCTCTTGTCTTTTCCCAGGGGCCGTGCTGGTTGACCAATACTGCAACCCTTTATCGGACATCTCCCTGAAGTGTATCCAAGTTCAGATCGATGACATTGCTGCTAAAGTGTGCAAATTCCTCAAATCCAAAAACCCCAGGCATCCCACTGTGGACCGAAAAGCAGGTATGGCCTTCAGCACAGTTCTCTTGGCTCAGCTTTTTCTGCGGTAGACCTGCTGTGAAGCCCACCCAACCGTGGCAATTTTTTTTGTCGCCGTCTGTAGCGATCCAGCCAGCACACAAGCAAATAATTCAGCCAGATTCATTATATAGAAGAAGCTTCTTCATATACAATAATATAAAACATGATGCATGTATACAATACCCATGCAGCTCTTACAGCGTGTTAGAGAGAAGTAGCAGCAGGCAAGAAGCCAGAAGAACCAGGCAAATGCAAACCTACTCTTATATACACAGAACACTTAAGCTAAGCCACGCCCAGGCTCTGAGCCGTCTCACATGGCTCACAAACAAATCGTGTGCCTCAGTCACCAAACAGTTCCCATTGGCTGACTTGCTGTTAATGGCTATTCCCGTTCATAAATTCTTATACACTGACAGTTTTGGGCCTGACTCATTGATAAATTTAACCCATGAATGAGTAACTTGGATTCTCGAGATCAACTTGGCGTGGGTGGATAATTAATTCCCAAGAGTCCCCCCACCATCCAGTATGGTCGATGCTGAGCATTCTGGGATTTGAAGTCCGCGGACCTGAAAGTTGCTGAAGTTGGAGAAATACAGATGTTAACTGCACAGCATTTTTCCAGCAGCATGAGATCCAGCAGTAGAGCGTGCTGGGGGTTGTGATTCAGCTATACCTGAAGAGCATAGGTTGACTCAACCTTCCATCCTTCCGCGGTTGGTAAAATGAAGACCCAGATTGTTGAGGGCAAGAGGCTGACTCTGTAAAGCGCTAAGAGAGGGCTGTAAAGTCCTATGCTTAAGATTAGGAATAATCTAAACTGCTTAAAGTTAGTGCAACAGGAAGAAGCTGAGTTTAATGCAGGGATGTTATTAACTTCTTTTTNAGGCTCCAGCTGTTCCTCTGCCTCACTGTTGTCTAGCTCTGTAGGCATCTGATCACTGCGAGACGGCCTCAGCCCCGTCTCTGTCTCTGACACAGAGCCCTCCTCAGAGCCTTCCCCAGACTCCAGGACTGGCCCATGTTCCTCCCCAATCTCCTCACTGTCCGACTCTGCTGCCAGCTCCACTGGTGGGCCACAACATAAAGCTCCTATGGTTAAGAAACACTGCTCTACCATTACTTTTGGTAGATGGGTAACTACTTAAACTTGTTTTTTTTTTAAAAAAGAAGTCTCTACAGCAAATCTAAGATAAATGGGTAAACTCCTCCCCTCTCCCCTGTAATCTGCTCACAAAGGACAACCTTGCTTCTGTCCGGCCAAAGGTTTATCATTTTGTTTAGATTTTTACCTACCATGTGTGTCGACCGGAGATGAATTTTCGTACCGTTTTGTCTTCCTCTGACGCAGGTGGCCTTCTTTAATGAAATACTACAATCAGGCAGACGGTGTGAATTGGCTGGAGCAATACAAAGAGCGGCATAAAGCAGGATTGAAAGCCCAAACGGTCGTCGCCTCGTTTTCCAAAAGGTTCTTTTCAGAGCACGTAAGATTTTTCTGGTTGGATCTCGCGAATGAAATCAAATGTATTGTCGTTAATCTGTTTGTACAGCAAACTGGCTGAGGAATTCTGCGAGTTGAAGTCTGTCCGAGTTTGCAGTAGAAATCACATCCGGAAAGCACACCCAGATGACCAATTCAGCAGGATTCCTTAACCTCTTTATATACATAACAGCACATGACAGCACATGAATTAAATACCAACAGCAGATTCGTCCAATGTAGTAGACAAGAGAGGTTGTTTCAGTTCAGACTACTAGATTAATTTCGTTTCAGAGCTGAGCACAGAGCTAATCCACGCCCAGACCTTTTGCTTAAGTTTCTGTTTTCCAAACAAGCCCCATTGGCTGACCTGTTACCATGTCTCTGCCAGTTCATGAATATTTTGACAAAGTCCACCCATCTTAAAGTTGCCAAGATTGAAAAAAACTGCCCTAAGCAGTGGCTCTCCCTCTTCATCTTTCGAAGGTTGTTCCCACAGATCTTACACCTGGGGATAAAATGGAGATTGTTACCTGGAGCTCCTCCTGGATATCAAATCTAAGAATAATGTTGAGAATGCAAGTAGTCCTCAACTTATGACCATTTGTTCAGCAGCCAAGGGCCTCCTCCATCCCCCGAGGAACCCCATGCTCCACATAATGACCAAAATGGGGAGAGCCAGAATTGTTTGGACACCTTGCTTAATGACCACAATAACTTACAACCGTAATTCTGGGTTCAGTTGTGTTTGTAAGTTGAGGACTACCTGTAATTTTTTTTTAAAATAGGCATATGCCTCATGAATCAAAGAAAAGGTGTTTTCATTCTCGGTTTGGAGCCCCCAAACATGGAAACTCTGCCCGCCCACCCCCAATAATTTAAGCAGCTTTGCTTCAAACTCTCAAAAGGTTTCGTTGGGGCTTGGAGAAGTCAAATCTGCTAAAGTGGTTTCATTTCTTCATCTAGACATTTTATGTTGCTGTCCACTAACACATGGCAACTCAAGGCAGCTTATAAGGGCATCTTGTTCAACAGGTGGTCCCATTTCTTTTAATAACAGCGAACCAATCGAACAACGACAGATGAAATTGTGTCTGATTCTTCTTTTTTCTTTGAAAAGTTTTTTTGTTGTTTTAATTAAACAAAAAAGACAAAAAAAGAATCATCCTTCATTACATCTTGTAGAAAGCATGTTGATTGGTTACAAATACATTTCGTGCATTTCTTCCACAATCATTACATATACTTCATTCATATTGAATTGACATTTTAAATAAAAAGTCTTTTATGTATTTTACTATCCATGTACCACAATTCTCATTTAACTACAATTACTTAAACATGCTTTTATCTGAAATCATTTGTATTTAAAGACGCAACCACCTACTGGCATTCATTCGCAATTTCAATAAACCTCCAATGTCTGATTCTTCTTGAGGTTGTTATAGAAAGCTGCTTTAGCAGCGACTAATGTCCCTGTTTTTCCTATTTAGGTGCCCTGTGATGGTTTCACTGATATTGAGACTCTTGATTGCCCCAGCCATTTCTNTGTTCTAACTGTCAGGAAATTTCTCCTCAGTTCTAAGTTGCTTCTCTCCTTGATTAGTTTCCACCCATTGCTTCTTGTTCTACCCTCGGGTGCCTACTTCATTTAATAGGTTATAATATACAGTTTGGGTTGCTTTGTTTACCATCCCTTCCTCCTGTTGTGACATCGCCTTATTTTCCTTTTCTTTTCTCCCTCCCTTCTTTCCTTCCTTCCTTCCTCCTCTTCTTTCCCTTCCTTCTTCCCTAAGAGAAATCCATTTTGGCCTACGTGCATAAGTTCATTTAAAAGCCTCTTCATTCTTTCTGCAAAAATTTTATAATCCACATTTAGTAGTGAAATAGGTCTATAGTTTTTTTTACTTGAAGATCTTCTTTTGGCATAAGTGTTATATACGCCTCCATCCATGTTTCTGGTATCTTTGCCTCCTTTAGTAAGTCATTAAAAAGTTCCGACATTACCTTGCTACTTCTTGTAGTGTTTGCTACAGTTCTCCCAATAATCCATCTGGTCCTGGTGTTTTACCCTTCTTTTGCCTTTTGATGCCTTCTGTTACTCCCATCATTGTTATTCGTTCTTCTGGTGCCTTCTTAAATTTTTCTGGGGTTTTAGTTATTCTAGTTTTCTCTAAGAATTGTCTTATTTTTCCCTTCTGGTACCCTCTCATGTTGCAATTATTATTATTTTTCTTTTCCCCATTTGAATGTGGTAGATTCCCCTCAACCCTTGATGATGGCATTGTGTATCCTCTTTCTGCTTCCATTTAGATACGGCTACAACTGTGTCATCTACGGGTGGGACCCAGTGTGCATGATGGGGCACGAATGGATCCGAAACATGAATGTCCACAGCCTGCCCCATGGCCCTCAACAGCCTTTCTACAACGTTTTAGTGGAAGATGGCTCGTGCCGATACGCCGCCCAAGGTAGGCAGGCAGGATTTCAAACAAGCTTATTTATGGTTGCTTATCCATCCTCTGGCGCGGTGGCTCAGTGGCTAAGACTCAGCAGCTAAGATCAGAAAGGTCGGCGGTTCAAATCCCCAGCGCCACATAAACCACTGAGCTCAGAGAGCACCAAGAACCCCTTGTGTCATTTCAACAGCAGTAGATTTGGTGGTTCTTTTTTACGGCTAACGGTAGAGCCATGTTCCGTTCAGTCTCTGCTGCTTCTTGATAGAGCTGGGGAAAACTCCCAGTAACTCCCTACCCAGGGGTGGGTTCCTGCCAGTTCTAATCTCTTCTATAGAAGAGGTTCCACAAATCTACAGTGCCGTTTAGANCCCCACAGTCTGGGTCCTCATTTCACCCACCTTGGAAGGATGGAAGGCTGAGTCAACCTTGAGCCGGTGAGATTTGAACCGCTGAACTGCAGATAGCAGTCGGCTGAAGTGGCCTGCAGTACTGCATTCTAACCACTGCGCCACCTCAGCTCGACCCAGATTTTCACCCTCTTTTTTGGGGGGGAGGGGAGGTTGCATCTTATACTCCAAAAAATATGGTATTTCAAGTCACCGCTACATTTAAACATCCCAGGTTGCAATTCTCTTGTTCAGCAATGCCAGACGATGAAGTCATCGTTTAAAAAAAAAAGTGGGAGGTATAAATGTGTTTCCTTCCATGAAAGAAAAATGGTGGTGCTCAGTTAGAAAGACCCTGTTACTCAGTGATAGAAAAATCCGTCATCGCGAGCAGCATCCACAGTCTCATTAACTCCGGGAGAAGAGGTTGGCGTGGGAACAGAAAGCTATCAATCCAGCCCTTCCAAGAGCTCTGTCGATGTTACAGGCTGATGAGGGTGTTGTGGCCCGCTGGCAGCCAGCAGAGCTGACAGCAGAGTCGAGACAGTGAGGAGGTTAGGGAGGAACATGGGCCAGTCCTGGCGGCTGAGGAAAGCAGCAGACAAGGGCTCTACGTTGGGGGCAGAGAGGGAGCTAGACAGCAGTGAGGCAGAGGAACAGCTGGAGCCTGTTCCCAGTATGCGCAGAGCTGCCAGAAGACAAGGACAACTAAGAAAGCAAGGTGGACTTGGGAGTAAAGCCACACCTTGGAGGTGATTGCCCCCTCCCAGAAGAAACAAAAGAGGAGCGAATGGGGAGGGGGCTTTTGCAGGAAACAAATCATTCAGTCGGTCTGGAAAGTTCTGTTTGTGATTATAAGAGATAAGTGCCAAGTTTCGCCTTGCCCTGCGTTTGGTAACTAGTTATCTGGCAGCTCGCCAGACGAGATAAGGTGCGTGTGGATAAATATTCCTCTGAAAGACTGTTTGCTAGGCCTGTCTGGCTGTGAATGAAAGGAACCCAGACTTGGCTTCTTACTTTCTAAGGTAGCCTAGGGTCAAGAGCAGTAGGCCGCCCAGGATGCTTTCAAAACCCTATCGATTCTCTTTATCAGTGGCACCCTTTCATGCCTCGTGGCAGGAGGGGGGGGGGGCTTGCCTGGCACACCTTTGCCTTTTGCAAAACCTCTGTTTAAGCTTCAAAAGGGGGAGCTCCAGATCAGCCTCCTGCACAGCTAAAAAAAGAAGAGATGGGCTTTGGGTCAACCATGCAGAATAGTGCGGGAGGACTAGCTCCGTCTTAATGTGGTCAATTGAGCCCAAAACTTCTGTGGCTAAATGAGGCGGTTGTTAATGTTGGCCTCATTTGACGACCTTTCTTGACGCAGTCGTTAAATCAATCACTGCATTTTTTAAGTTAGTGGAGTGAATTTGGCTTCCCCATTGATTTTGCTTCTCGGGGCAGTGCGGTGGCCTAGAGGGGGAGCTCTCGCCTCACAATCGGGAGGCTGTGAGTTCAATCCTAGTTAAAGGCAGATCTTTCTGTCTCTCTGGGCACATTGAGAATATATCTGCGGAACCAAACTCCGCATTGGTAACAGGAGGAAGGGCATCCGTCCATGAAAACACTCTGCTAGCTTCATTCAGTTGACCAGACTCCACCCAGCAAGGAATTATGGGGTCGTTAAAAGAGGATGATTGAATTTGCTTGTCAGAAGGTTGCAAAAGGAGATGACCCCAACCATCATAAATATATTGTCAGGCCTGCAGCCATCTTTTCTTTTGGATCTTTAGCCTGCCACACTTTCTGTTATTCTAGTATGCCTTTTCTAGTATGGGAAAATGGGATTGTACGGAGTGAGATGCGATGTAGCCATAACAATATTCTTTCTAGAAAGCCAAGGTCATCCTTTGTCTCTGCACCTTACTGGATCTGGACGGATGGCAGTGGGAGGTTGTACCATGTGGATGGACTTGTGGGTGTGGGGGACAAGATATTGAACTTTCAACTGAGTGGGGAAAACCAGGAAGCTTTCAGATTCAGGTTTTCCCAGATGTGCCAACATGGCTCTCTGAATAAATTGGAACTTTGAGCAATGCTTTGCCTTGGACTCTGATTTACTTTTGGATGCTATTTGGAATCTTTATATGTAGTCCAGTTGCCAAGTGTCCAAATTTTGATCATGTGACCATGGGCTGCTACAACAGTCACAAGTGTGAAAAACTGTCATAAGTCACTTTTTTCAGAGCCGGCATAACTTCCAACGGTCACTAAATGAACTAAATGTTGAGGGCTTGCTGTATTTCTCCCCTTCTTTCCTCTCTGGAAAACTAGGAAGGGTCCTACCAGGGGCCAGAGATGTGGAGGAGAAGCATGATCAGAAAGGAATTCCCCTTTGGTTTCATTTTTCTTTTTGCCAGGAGCACAAATATATTTGACTACACGTACATCGATGCTTTTGGGAAGGGGCAGCAGCTGACGGTCAAAGAATGTGAATACTTGATTGGGCACCACGTGACGGAGGAGTTTTACGGCGTGGCAACAGCCAAAGAGGTTCTGCAGCGGATGGTGGGCAACTTGCTAAATATTGGAAAGCGGTAAGAATCTAGGAAAGATTGCATTAGCCTTAGCAGTTCCGTTGCGTTAGAGGAGGCCTAAGTACCCACTTGACCATGGAGGACTAGATTGTCATTGACTATGGAGGTCCAAGTCCTCATTAATTACAGAGGTCCAACTCCCCATGTAAACATGGAGGTCAAGATCCCCATTGACCATGGAGGCCCAAGTCCTCATTGCCAAGGGCTTCCAAGTTCTCAATTACCATGGAGGACTAGATTCTCATTGACCATGGAGGTCCAAGTCCTCATTGACCATGGAGGTCCAAGTCCTCATTGATCATGGAGGTCAAGATCCCCATTGACCATGGAGGTCCAAGTCTTCATTGCCAAGGGCTTCCAAGTTCTCAATGACCATGGAGGACTAGGTTCTCATTGACCATGGAGGTCCAAGTCCTCATTGCCAAGGGCTTCCAAGTTCTCAATGACCATGGAGGACTAGGTTCTCATTGACCATGGAGGTCCAAGTCCTCATTGCCAAGGGCTTCCAAGTTCTCAATGACCATGGAGGACTAGGTTCTCATTGACCATGGAGGTCCAAGTCCTCATTGCCAAGGGCTTCCAAGTTCTCAATGAC